TGTGGGGAGGAGACCAGGGGAGGCATCTGAGGGGTGGCCAGACCGCTCCCCTCGCCCAGGGACCCTTCATTTCTGGGACGTGGCGAAGACGCTGGTCCCGACTGGCACAGACCACGCAGCTCTTCCCGGTCCTCGTCGACTCCCAGGCTGGGGAAGCCCGTGACTTCGCGCTTGAATTGGTTGAAAGGATCCATAGTATCCCTCTGCCGTCCTGTGTGGATCTGCGTCTGGATCTGCTGGATCACTGGGTCACACGTGAAGCGGTGGCTACGCGGCCGTGCGGTCGAGTTCAGCTACCCAGCGTCCGGCTAGGCGCTTTATATATACCACCCTTTAGTGGGGGTTGGGCTCGCCGAGGTGCGCATGCGGCTGGGCTTGGGCACCAAGTGGGCGGGTGCTCCTGCCAAGAGGGCTGGGGTGGGGAGCACTCGCTCTAAGGCATCGGAGGGGACTATGGGTAACCAGAACTGGCGGCTTCAGTTGTAGCTTAGCTCGTGTCCCCCAAACTGGCGGCATGTCTCCCCCACTCCAGAGCAAGGGGCTGTGCTGCATTGTGTTTGCCTATTTCCATAGGGTGAGAGACAGACCTCACCCTAGGTCTGGAGACCTGGCAGAAATGTTGGGACAATCTCTCTTGGGCCAGCCCCACCCCCACCCCCCAACCTCTGGACCTAGCAGCCGGTACAAAGCAGGGAATAGTCATCAAATGAATGTGATCAGCTCTGAGGTGGCACACTCTGAGTTTTTTCAGCGAGATGCTGAAGTTAGAGCCCGCCAAACTCCCGGGTACCCGGGAACAGGAGCTGGGGCTTGGGGTTGCTGATCGTGCCTGGTGCTCAGATGCACTATGCAAATAAAACCACACGTGCCCCTTGGGAAAGTCCGGTGCCTCCAGAATTTTAGTGACGAAGCTACATCTCGGTGCAGGGCTACAAACCTGCACAGTGCATTCAAGGCTGCTTAAAGTGCACACAGCTCCTGCTTTTTTTTTCTTGCAATTTTTCTTTTTCAAATATTTGTTTCTTTGTCTCATTGTAACCGCCTATCCTGAAGCATTCCTGCACAGCAGCTATGCCTCTAACTATAGATTTCTCTATACAAGCATGCATATCCCTCAAGGGTTGGGACCTTTGGGATGCAGGTAATTTCCCGCCGCCATTTCTCCCTTCCCTCAGCCTCTCGGTTTTTCTAGAAAGATCTTCCTGAGCCCTCGCTGAGGGAATAAATGAAGTTTACTTCTTTTGTTTTTATTTATTTTGAGAGAGAGCACAAGCGGGGCGGGAGGGACAGAGGATCTCAAGGGGGCTCTGTGCTGAAGGCAGAGAGCCCGATGGGGGGCTGGACCTCATGAACCCAGAGATCATGAAGTGAGCCAAAGCCAGATGCTCAACCGACTGAGCCACCCAGGCACCCCTAAATAAATTTCGTTTCTTGTTGGTTGTTTCCTTTTTCTTTTCCTTTTTTATTTATTTATTTTTCTTACGGCAGGGATACGTTTTTATTGGTCGGAGAGTTGAATTTATGTAGGGTTTTGGTTTCTCCAGGTGAGTACAGAAAAGAGACAAGGGACAAGAGATTTGGGGCATAGCAAGGAATCCGTGATAAAGAGTGACTCTACATAGTTTTATATAGTTTGTCAAAACTCAACAAATGTAAGTTTGAGATTTGTGCACTCTTTTGTATGTCACTTTTACATCAACAGAGGAAACCTGTAAGCAAATACTGAACTCCACTTAATGGTATGCATGCTTATTTCTTGTCAAAAATAAAAGGGAGCAGACCAGATTGAGGGCTCTGTGGTTTTCCCCGCCAGAACTGTTTTACTGATGTTCCAAGACTCGTTAATATCCTAAATATTGACAACAGCTTCCCACAGTGGGCCTTATGCTCGACAACGTGCTCGATTTATATCCCTCGTTTACCCCACGGCCAGTCTCCTCACCCCCATTTGAATTCAGACACTCCATCATTTCTGTGGGTTCCTAAATGCATCACGGGCCCTAGTCACCTCACCCGCTGAGTCTCCGGGATAAGTGCCCCTGCCTCATGCCCCTGGAGGATGGGTAAGAAACTAACTAAAAGAGGTTTGCGGACCAATTCGTTTTCAAAGAGGTGGTAAGGGATGCAAGGTGACTGCGTCCTCCTGACGACTTTAACCAGATGTTTCCTCCTCAGGGAGGCCCTTGTTGAATGCCGCAGGCACCTCCCCCGCCTCGGCTGGACACCCTATGCCCAGTTTCGACTTGAGATTAGTTATCGCGTGAGCGGCCTACGAGGGCTTTCATTCTGTTTGTGCTGGACTAGCTGCGATTATCCGTGACCGCTGAGGGGGCGCGTTCTTTCGTGTCTCCCGTTCCCACGGAGCCTTCCCGTTGGCTCCATCTCAGTCCCTCCCGTGTCCCGAGACAACTATTGCCCTACCTTGGCATCAGTTGTGGTAGTATTTTCTTCAGTAACTTCACACTTTGCAAACCTTAACAACCGAATGGAGCCTCGTCCTAAGCAAAAATAGCCACGACTGGGGTTCGATGTGCCGGGTTTATGGCCGTGGGCGCTCTGGAGCCAGCCTGCCGGGGTCTGCGCCGCGGCTTGCTCGCCCTGGCTAGCTGGCCAGCCTGTTGAGTTGCTGAGTCTCAGTTTCCTCAGGTGTCCTCATCCGTATAACGAGGACAGCAATAGCCACCACCTCACCAGGGTGCTGCGGGAGTAATTGAGGTGACAAAAATAAAATGTTTCCGGTGGCCACACCACACTGTCTCACATTTCTGATTTCAGCCAATTTTGTGTTTCTTTATCCACAAGGGTCCGTGAGAGAAGACAGGTGCTGGTTGTTCTCTGGCAGTTGACAACGAGGACAGGAAGTTTTCTTGTGACCGTCAGGTCTCCAGGGCCACACGTCATTTGGGGTCTTTGTTTTTTTAACTCTTTTTTTCAGTAATCTCTCCACCCAACGTGGGGCTCGAGCCCATGGCCCTGAGAGCAAGAGCCACACTCCCCCAACTGAGCCAGCCAGGCGCCCCGCTGCATGTCTGTTTGTACCTACCTGGGCTCCAGTCACCAAACCTCGTGGCCTGCTGTGCTTACAGGGCCCCGTGACAGGTAGTGTGGGCAGTGCCTCCGGCGCAGACTCAGCCTTTGTGCCCTGGCTTCTCCCAGTCTGAGCAGAGGGATCAGCCCACGTGAGAGAAAGACGCTGAAAATGATGGAGCCCCACCCCCACTAAGTTGCTCTGTGGCCCAGGTAAATCAGCTGACATCCCTGTGCCTCCCGTGCCGCATCTGCACAATGGGGATCACGATGGTGCCCCCTGTCCTGAGCTGAGAAGTGTACAAGGTAATAGAAGGAAGGCCCACAGGACGGGCTCAGACGACCGGAGCTGATGCTGGAGGTAAGGGGTCAGGGCTGAGGGGGCTCAGGCTGCGCTTGGGCCCTCGCTGTGATCGAAGGTGCCGGACATGGAGCATAACCCCTGCCCCTGGGTGGATGTGCGAGCCTGTGGAGTGAACGTGGCCGTGCTTGCTCGTGCTGGTGACCTCACGTGAGTGCCGGCTGCGCACCGGGGCCTGGCTGACGAATCTTGCAGCTGTCCGCGGGGAGGGGAGGAGAGTGGTGCGAGGCATCACTGTTTCTTACTGAGGCAAGGCGACGGAGGCTTGGAGAGGTTGGGTGACCTTCCCAAGGTTATGCAGCTTGGTGGAAGTGGGCAAGGATCCAAACCTCTGAAGAGTGTTCCTGGCAGCCCCTGGTAGAAGCGGAGTTGGCTTTCGGGGAGTAGTGGGGCTTCCCTCACGTCTCAGAGTGAGCCAAAGTTTGGTAAATGCTAAGCAGGCTGTGCGCAGAACTGCAGTTAAAGGGGGGAGGAGAGGGGCGCCTGGGTGGCTCAGTCGGTTAAGCGACGGACTCTTGGTACTGGCTCAGGTCATGATGTCGTGGTTGTGAGATCAAGCCCCATATGGGGCTGCGGCCCAGCGTGGCTCCTGCTTGGGATTCTCTGTCTCCGGCTCTCTGCCCCTCCCCGACTCGTGTGCCTGCTCTCTAAATAAACAAACGTCCGTACCAACAAAGACAATAGGAGAGGGTATTTCGAGCAACCCCAGGAAGGAAGAAGTAGAAAGCCGATCTCAGGAAACCCAGACACAGCCAGGGTGGCTGTCTCGAGAGGGAGCTAGAGAAGAGTCTGCAGAGGACTCCATATCCAGCAGGGAAATCAAGTTTAAATATTACGTTGGGGTCGAATTCAAGGGAGGTGTTGGGATATGTGCATCTGGGAGGATGGAACCCTGTAAGTTTGGGGCAAGCGAGACTCATGAAAACAGTGTTTTAGGATGGGGTTCTTGGAGGGGAGTCCCAGATGGCTCTGGGTTCGGCTCACTGCAGTTACTGGGCTAGGGGATCAAGGTCGAGAGCCAGAGTCCCTGCTTGGAGGCCACATCGGTCCACAAGGTGCATGAGGCGTCCCCTGGAATTGGAATGTAAACGTCTGCGCGTGTAGTGGCGTTACGGTGATGTGTGCACCTTTCATCAGCTAGAGTGGCGACCGCGCCCCTAACCCCCCCTTCCGCCTTCATAAATATTATAGCAGAGAACAGGGGGCTGAGGAAAGCGAGCGGGCTCTGGAGTTGGGTGGAGCACACGTGTCTGGTTTCCGGGCACAGCCGTGTTCTTCTGCTTTCATGGTATATTCTCACCTCATGACACTGGCAAGCCTTCCTGTCTCTGTGCCTCCGTTTCCCCAACTGGAAATAGGGCAACTCTTCCTATTACTACCACTGTTTACTAAACTAATGATGGTCAACTCACAGAATTCTTAGGAAGTCGGAATGAAGTATGGAAAAACAGTTTCCTTCCCTCGCCTTCCCTCCCTCCCTCTCTCTCTTCCTTCCTCCCTTCACCTGTTCTTCCCTCCCTAGATTCCTCCTTCCCTTTCTACCTCTCTGCCTTCTTCCCTGCCATCCTCTTCCCTCCTACCTCCTTCTCGCCCTCCTCCCACTCTGTTCCCTATCCATCCCTCACCTCCCTCCCTCTTCCCTACTTTCTCCTCCCTCTTCCCACTCCCTCCTTCCCTCCCTGTCTTTTCTCCCTCCTCCTTCCTTCCTTCTCTCCCTCCTCTTCCCTCCCTATTTCCCTCTTTATTGTGTGTGTGTGCACATGTTCGTGCATGTACCTCATTGCATTTAATTGTCTAAATGTGTCTATGTACTAAAAACAAGCACCAAAGATATA